TGCTCCAGTGAGTGTCCCCATGACTGGATGTAGACAGGCTGCCCAAGACAGCTTGTCCTGGGGCCCACCCCTGGGATCAACACCACCAGTTTCCCAGGAGGCTCCCATCAGGCCCCCAGTGAGCCAGCAGGCACCGTGGCCACAGAGGCCCTGTACAGAGGGCAGTCGGCCCACATCCCAGGCCAAGCCTCCACCTCCCAGTGTCTATCAGAACTTTCGGCGCTGGCAGCAACTGAAGGACTTGGTCTGGAAGAAACTTCCACAGACTCCTGATGGGGAGGCACTTGCCTGCTTCTTCATGTGAGTGTCTCCTCTGGGAACCTGGAGCTCCTGGGGGTGCTCCTGCATGGGAATCCACACCACAAGGGCAGGGAAATCCTGAAGCTGATCACACCTGTACAGAAAAACCACACACAGACATAGTAGTGTCACACAGGGCCAAGAAAAGCTCCTTCCCTTTGCACCATGGTATCCCTGTGAGTGTGGCCATTTTACTTTTCCAGAAGGATTAGCACTGTAGAAAGGACCACATTCCCAAAGAGCACCTGCTATAAAGGGAACCACAATTTGATTTTAGGCTCAAGACCATTCTGGGCATGTGCCGCTCAGCTCAGGCCTCACCCATACTTGTGGAACTGGAAATGGAAACCATTCTTGCTCATAGTCTGGAGGATGGAATTCTCAGATTCTGGGCTGGCAGATTCCATGTCTGCAGATGGCTCTCCTCATGGCTGCCTTGTGTGTGTCAGGCAGGGCTGAGAGATAGCTTTGGCTGCTCTTCCTGTCTGTCTCTCCAAAGCCACTGTCCTGTCCTGGCAAAGAATGCCATCTCCATAACTGTACCTAAGCTAGGCTGGCCCAATAGCATCACCGGGGGCTTAAGTATTTCAGAGTATTTCAGTCTAGAATGTTCACTAATGGAAAGCACTCACAGGAACATGGGGAAGGCCAGCAGTGGCCTTGCTACTGATTTCTGTGGTCCATAAGGGTGACCTGGAGATAAGAGCCCACATGGGAGCTGGACATGTAGGCAGCAAGGGTGAGGAGCACAGGGTTTGGGTCCACTGGGAATGGAGGGTCACCTGTGGGCTGTGGGCTGTGACTGATCCTGATGAATTGCAGCCCAGTGCTTCGGTCCCTGGCCCGGCTGAATCCCACCATATCCCTGGACGAGGGCCTGTGGAGAGGCCTTCAGGAGTGGGAAGGCATTAGCAATTACGAGCGCATGAACTTTCACGAGATGGCGGCCAAGTGAGTGAGGGACCCTGGAGCTGGGGTTTGTGTGGTGGAGGAGGGCAGAGACTGCACGCCTGGGCCCAGTGGGGCTCATCACTCCCACAGCCACGAAGGGCATGGACATGCACAGAAGATGCCCTTCTCCTGACAGCCTTCTGTCCAGGCAGTGGCACAGTCTCTCTGAGGTGCGGGTTGAGTTCTGAGTTGGGGGCCTCACAAACTCCTGCCTCACGGATGCCTGGTCCACTCCTGCCAGGGGGCTGAGGGTCAGACCCGGTGTGGAAATCAGCCAACAACTGGTCCCTTCCAACATGGGCAGTTGTGCAAACGCAAAGACTGCTCCAGGTATCAGTGGCTCATGAGAGTCTAGGGCCCATGCCTGCTCTAGGAACCCAAGGTTTTAATTTCCTCTTTGTGCTCTCTGTCAATCACAATCCTGATCAGCTTCTGCCAGTCACCTCCTCGCTTAGGGGCAGGGATGGAATAGGCTCAGAAGATGGGTCACTGAAGGCCCTTCCTGGGTCACTTGTTTCCACACAATCTTGGGCGATCCAAAGTCTCCCTGAACTTCGCATTTTTTAAAAATATTATTTACTGCTGTTCTAAGTGTGTTATTCAGAGTGATGCAGTCATGTGCACCATGGGAAGAGTGCGCTTCTTTTGGACAGTGTCACTCCTTCCCGCACTGACACCTTCTTTTCATCCTTTATCAGCAACCTTCGGCGCCTAGGCAAGAACCTCAGAGTACTGCTTGCACACCTTCTATGTCCTCCTTCTGGGAATTGCCCATGGGGCTCCTCCCCCTCTCAGCTCACCCTGTGCCTCCTACATTCCCAGGTTCATGGAATTTGAGGCTATGGAGGTGATAGAGAATTCAAAGTTGCAGGGCATTATGCAGGTCCAAGGCCCGCCTCCTGCCATCCCACTGAAGCCAGATTCTCCAAGGCCCTCATCCCCCGACATTCTCCAGCAGCCAGGTAGAGTCTCTCAATGTTCTATTGGAGTCCATGGTGTGAAGTGGCCGATGGGGTCTCGAAGGGTTTGCCCACACGCAGGGCTTCTGTTTTCGATGGAGGAGTTCCTCTTACAATAGAAACAAAGCATCCCTCCAGAACCTGAGGTTTCTGGAGGAATCGTTAGCATGGAAGTGGTTATTATAGGGCTATGTCTATAGCTCCTCTCAGCACAAGCACCTTGGACAACACCTACCCAGGATCAGCAATGGGATGGGGAGAGCACCAGAATGTCAGTGTCTCAGAATTTGGTACTGCATGGCTGTCTTATGTATTCCACATTTTGCAGTCTCTTCTGGCTCCATTGTCTGTGCTGGTCTGGGGCTGGTGTAGCGCTACTAAACTCTGCTGCTCAGCCATCTGGTGTGGAAGCTCTTCCCCCATCCTTGCTTTGTCTGGTCTCCTCTCCCTTAGAGGGCAACTCCAGCAAGACTGGCCTCAAGGCTCAGCCTGCCCAGCCATCAGCACCCAAAGATCAGAGGCCGCCAGAGACCAAGGCACCCGAGGAGATCCCACCTGAAGCCGTGGAGGAGTACATGGCCATCATGGACTGGCTGGAGGGCCTTCCTGAATTGTGCACCCACGACTCTGGGGGAACATCCAAAGAGGCGAGAATGGAACAAGAGGATGTGGAAGACATGTGCTCAGATCCAGAGCTCCTGAGCCTCATTGACCAGCTGTGCTGCCAGGAGGATTTCATGTCAAATGTGGGCTCCAACTCCAGCCCTGTTCTCTGACACTTTCCCTCTCTCTTGAAATGGACCTTATTTCCTGAATGCTCAGCACTCTGTGTGTGTGTGTGTGTGTGTGTGTGTGTGTGTGTGTGCGTGTGCGCGCGTGTGCGTGTGTGGACCAGGTTGGGGTGGTTGTTCCTTCCTGTGTCTTCTCAAAGTCCCCTTGGCACAGATTTCTCCTTTCTACACACACAACGACACACTCTTCCTTCTGCTCCAGGTGGAGGCCATCATTCACCCCACATTCCTGGAAGAATTGCTTTCCTCCAAACCAGAGCTGGATCTTGAGGCCCTAATTGAGGAGCTGGAACAGGAAGAAGGACTCACCCCTGAGCAGGTTGGCACAGGAAAGACTGGAGGCAGGTAGATCAGGAGGGGAAGAAAGGCCGCACAACCAAAAGGAAGGAGCACTGCCTTAGGCTTCTGGGCAGTCATGGTTTGGAGGTTATTCCTGAAGGTAGATGAGGATGTGGACTAGAAGGAAGGACACAGGAGAGCCAGGGAGGGGCTGAGCTTGCACAGCTGCAAAGGGACCCAGTGGAGAGCTGAAGAGCACAAGTCTGTGTGTCTGCAACCAAGAGAGGTGACCCTGCAGTTGTTCCCTCTACTGTGGGCCTTTCCCAGCCAGATGCAAAGCCAGTAACTCTGTATTTCCTCCAACAGATAGTGGAGAAACGTCTTGGGGCACCCAGAGTAGCCTCAAGTGTTTCTGAGTTGGCCATCTGCCAAGGTGCAGACAGAAATGAGCAGAGCCCGCAACAAGCAGTCAGTGCAGATACCAGCACTCTGCATATCGTTTGCAGTGATGATCAGAGCCATAGTGGCACTGATGCAGAGCACCTTACACCTGCTTCTACTGCTGCTGCTGCTCTCCAGGGGGGTCCCGGGTGTCCTTCAGTAGGAGCCACCCTGCCCACTGCTTGTCCCCGTAGACATGGATCCCATCCCCAGAGACTGGGGTCTAGAGATGCCGTGAATCACATGGAAGAGTCTCCTGCTGGCACTCCACGCAAGCGAGCAGGGGACAGGAAGGTGGACAAGGAAGGTGTCCCCAGCCTGGCGTCCTTGCTGGGCTCTGAGTACTGTCTCCTGCCCTGGGGACTATCTCAGAGCCCCAGGTCCCCCACCACCCTCCTGTCCTCTGGACACCAAGCCTCTGGGCCTTCACTGTGCAAGAGAAGAGGCCACAGCCTGGATCCCCCTCCACCTGCCAAGTCCAAGAAAAGGGCTCGCATTGGAGATTCATGCACCCCAGTAAAGAATCCCTGCCCAGGGTCTCACTTTGAGGAGTCTGCAAAGGAGGACTTGGCTTTGGGGCTGATTCGTCCTGCACAGCCTCAGAAGAGAAAGCGTGAAGTGTTGGAAGGCCAGAGGAAGAAGAGGAAGAAGAAAACTCCTTGAAGCCAGTCGCAACCTGAGTGAGATCTCACCTGGCTTGCATTGTGCAATTGACCAACCAAAAGTTCTTCCTCACTCAGTGCTGATCCAGGGGTTCTCAGTGTAGCAGGGGAAGGGGGAGCGTAGTGGGAGTGAGGGGAAAGAGGAGAGGGAGAATGAGTAAAGGGGGGAGGTTCGGGAGGGAGATTTACATGGGGGGCTATTTAATTGTGCAAAGTAAATAAAGATAGTTTGCTTGGAATGTGTCCTCAAACAGCTGAGCCTGGGTCTGGGCTGTCCACGGAATGAGGAGGGCGAG